GCTTGCCAGCGGGCACCGCGTCATCTGGCAAGGCAGTGGGCACCGGGTCACCAGGCATTGGATCGTCTGGCTCGACAGCGGGCATCGGGTCACCAGGTATGACAGCGGGCACTGGGTCACCAGGCATCAGGTCACTTGGCTCGCCAGCGGGCACCGCGTCATCTGGCAAGGCAGTGGGCACCGAGTCACCAGGCACGACACAGCGGGCTCTGAGTCAACTGGCACGACAGTGGGCACCGGATCAGGTACCGGATCGTCTGGATCAACAGCGGGCATCGAGTCAACTGGCCTAATAGGATCGTCAGGCTGGATCAGTTCATCATGCTGGGTAGAGGCATCAGGCTGAATGGAGGCATCCGGCTGAGTAGAGGCATCCGGCTGAGTAGAGGCATCCGGCTGAGTAGAGGCATCCGGCTGAGTAGAGGCATCAGGCTGAGTAGAGGCATCAGGCTGAGTAGAGGCATCAGGCTGAGTAGAGGCTTCAGGCTGAGTAGAGGCTTCAGGCTGAGTAGAGGCATCAGGCTGAGTACAGGCATCAGGCTGAGTACAGGCATCAGGCTGAGTAGAGGCTTCAAGCTGAGTAGAGGCATCAGGCTGAGTACAGGCATCAGGCTGAGTACAGGCATCAGGCTGAGTAGAGGCATCCGGCTGAGTAGAGGCATCCGGCTGAGTAGAGGCATCAGGCTGAGTAGAGGCATCAGGCTGAGTAGAGGCATCAGGCTGAGTAGAGGCTTCAGGCTGAGTAGAGGCATCAGGCTGAGTACAGGCATCAGGCTGAGTACAGGCATCAGGCTGAGTAGAGGCTTCAGGCTGAGTACAGGCATCAGGCTGAGTACAGGCATCCGGCTGAGTACAGGCATCAGGCTGAGTAGAGGCATCAGGCTGAGTACAGGCATCAGGCTGAGTAGAGGCTTCAGGCTGAGTACAGGCATCAGGCTGAGTAGAGGCATCAGGCTGAGTAGAGGCTTCAGGCTGAGTAGAGGCATCAGGCTGAGTAGAGGCATCAGGCTGAGTACAGGCATCAGGCTGAGTACAGGCATCAGGCTGAGTAGAGGCATCAGGCTGAGTAAAGGCATCAGGCTGAGTAGAGGCTTCAGGCTGAGTAGAGGCTTCAGGCTGAGTAGAGGCTTCAGGCTGAACCACGGAAGGCAGGTTCACCGGTTTGGATACTGGCAGGATGGTATTGGTTGGAAAGAATTTTCGCTTTTTTCTGGTTTTAACTACTGGAGCACTGCAAGTAAACGCAGGTCTGCAAACGAATGGAGCAGCTGGAGACAGAGAAGAACTGGAGGATGGAACAGGGGAGGGAGCAGTTGCTACAGAGGGCTTTTTTACAGGGTTAAAGGCAGGATAGGTGCAGCGAGTGGGAACAGGGTACTGACATGCGGTAGATAGCAGGGCAGGAGGAGCTGTTGGGAATGCAGGAATAGAGCTTTGAGGAAATAGATTAGAAGCAGGACTGGGTTTTTGTAAGCTGACTGAGGCTGGGTGCAACAAGTCTGTCCATGTCTGCAGTATGGGTTGAACAAAGCTGAGCTTACACAAAGCCTGTCTGACCAATGACTGCACTGCGTTTATACAATCCCTTAATACCTGCGGTGAACATGCAGCATAATGTTCCAAGAAGCAATCCACATCATCCTCTAATAACCACACCAGGGACTCTATCTGGTCGGCACTAAATGGCGGCAAAAATTCATCCTGCATTCGGGGGTACCAGATGAAACCAACTCAGCACAAACCTGAATCAATGGCTGCACCTCAGAGAATTCTGTGCCCTGATCTACTAGAACATGAGCGAGCCGTATACATTCTAGCAGTTCATCCCGGGGATACTCCTTCAGAGTCTGATAAGCATACTCCCTGTCATCAAACACTAGCAGATATAAATACGCAACCTCATCAAGATCCATCTTTCCCAGCAACAAGCCAAGATGGCTTCCCTGTGCAGCCACTTCTGGTCAGGATTGGCCTTGGTGTAATGTCAGGGCTCCCAGGTATGACCAGAGGTGTGTGACTGACGCAGGGAAACGCAGACTTCAGATATGTTATAAACAATATAATTTATTGACACTAACAATACAAACATAAACGCAGTGCAATACTAAACATAATACAGTGCAAACAAACCCAACCACCCACAGATAATACATACAATGCAAGCATCGTCAGGCAGGCCGGGTCAATATCAATCGGGCAGGTAGGTACAAGGGGAGCAAGCGGAGAATGGTCGGGGTCACAAGCCAGGTTCAGCAGGTAGCGGGCAGAGTGGTACAGAGGGTCAGGCAGAGGGATGGTCAGGGTCACAAGCCAGGTTCAGCAGGTAGCGGGCAGAGTGGTACAGAGGGTCAGGCAGAGGGATGGTCAGGAACGAGCCGGGGTCAGAGCAGGAGAAGTCAGCAGAGGTCAGATCAGGCAGGGTCAGCAACAAGACAGGAACAGGAACAGGATACAGGGCCCAGGAAAAACACACACCAAGGCAGAGTCTGCAGGTCTGGCCATCCCTTAAATACACCAGTGTAAGCAGTTTCAGGTGTTTAGCTGGCTGCAAGGTTGAGTCTCTGATTGCTGGGAGCACCCGCTGGCCAGCCCTGGTACTGCAGCTCATAAGGCAGGCGAGTCCCACCATTGCTGGCCAGTCCATTCCTGACAGTCAGAATGGGGAAGAAAGCGGATTTAAAGTGTTACTAAACCCACAACAGTAAAATCAGTCTGTAGATGCAGTAAAGCATGCTTGTTATACTCACTGCAGAACCTAAGGGGTTAATCCTCTGCACTTTGTAAAAATGCTGTTTGATCCTGTCTTCTCTGCCCCTCCTCTTGATGAAATGACCAGATGATACAGAATGAATCCATAGCCACATGCATCTGCTCAGTTTGGTGTGTATTGCTAGATAGCTTTTTTTTTTCTTGGGAGGGTGCATGTGATCAGCACAGAGCCAATCAGCACTGCCCAGAGGTCAGGGGTTTCACATCCTCCTAGAGCAGAAAGAAAACTCCTCCTACAAGCTTTAACCAGTGCTCTGCTGAAGTCACAAGACTGCTATATACTGCTGATGAGAAAAGGTATTTAGCAGTTTATATTCACTAAAATAATTGCATTTCCATGTTCTTTGTACTGTAGGAGACCGGATATAGTGAATGCGAGGTCCGGGGAGAGCGGATATAGTGAATGCGAGGTCCGGGGAGAGCGGATATAGTGAATGCAGGGTCCGGGGAGAGCGGATATAGTGAATGCAGGGTCCAGGGAGAGCGGATATAGTGAATGCGGGGTACAGAGAGACTGGATATAGTGAATGCGGGGTCCAGGGAGAGCGGATATAGTGAATGCGGGGTCCGGGGAGAGCGGATATAGTGAATGCGGGGTCCGGGGAGAGCGGATATAGTGAATGTGGGGTCCTGGGAGAGCGGATATAGTAAATGCGGGGTCCGGGGAGAGCGGATATAGTGAATGCAGGGTCCGGGGAGAGCGGATATAGTGAATGCAGGGTCCGGGGAGAGCGGATATAGTGAATGCGGGGTCCAGGGAGAGCGGATATAGTGAATGCGGGGTCCGGGGAGAGCGGATATAGTGAATGCGGGGTCCGGGGAGAGCGGATATAGTGAATGCGGGGACCGGGGACACCGGATATAGTGAATGCGGGGTCCGGGGAAAGCGGATATAGTGAATGCGGGTTCCGGGGAGAGCGGATATAGTGAATGCGGGTTCCGGGGAGACCGGATATAGTGAATGCGGGGTCCGGGGAGACCGGATATAGTGAATGCAGAGTCCGGGGAGACCGGATATAGTGAATGCGGGGTCCAGGGAGAGCGGATATAGTGAATGTGGGGTCAGGGGAGACTACATATAGTGAATGCAGGGTCCGGGGAGACTACATATAGTAAATGCAGGGTCCAGGGAGAGCGGATATAGTGAATGGAGGGTCCGGGGAGAGCGGATATAGTGAATGCAGGGTCCGGGGAGAGCGGATATAGTGAATGCAGGGTCCGGGGAGAGTGGATATAGTGAATGGAGGGTCCAGGGAGAGCGGATATAGTGAATGCAGGGTCCGGGGAGAGCGGATATAGTGAATGCGGGATCCGGGGAGAGCGGATATAGTGAATGCGGGGTCCGGGGAGAGCGGATATAGTGAATGCGGGGTCCGGGGAGAGCGGATATAGTGAATGCGGGGTCTGGGCAGAGCGGATATAGTGAATGCGGGGTCCAGGGAGAGCGGATATAGTGAATGCAGGGTCCGGGGAGAGCGGATATAGTGAATGCGGGGTCCGGGGAGAGCAGATATAGTGAATGCGGGGTCCGGGGAGAGCGGATATAGTGAATGCGGGGTCCGGGGAGAGCAGATATAGTGAATGGAGGATCCGGGGAGAGTGGATATAGTGAATGCGGGGTCCGGGGAGAGCGGATATAGTGAATGCGGGGTCCGGGGAGAGCGGATATAGTGAATGCGGGGTCCGGGGAGAGCGGATATAGTGAATGCAGGGTCCGGGGAGAGCGGATATAGTGAATGCAGGGTCCGGGGAGAGCGGATATAGTGAATGCAGGGTCTGGGGAGAGCGGATATAGTAAATGCGGGGTCTGGGGAGAGCGGATATAGTGAATGCAGGGTTTTTCAAACTCCAATCTGGCTTTTTTATATTTCTGTGTCAGCATTGGGGTCCTCCTGGGTCTCCTCCCGTATTTCTGTGTCAGCAGTGGGGTTCTCCTGGGTCTCCTACCATAGGGTCCCTTTTCATTCAGATGGTGGTGTATAGTGTGAGTGGACACAGTTGCACCCTGTGCCTGAAGGTCAGCTTGAATTTGTCTGGAAGTTGATTGAGGTTCTTTATCCACCATTCTAACAATCCTTTGTTGCAATCTTTGATCAATTTTTCTCTTTCATCCACATCCAGGGAGATTGTCTACAGTGTCATGAGCTGTAAACTTCTTGCCAATGTTGCGCACAGTGGACACAGGAACATTAAGATCTCAGGAGATGAACTTGTCACCTTGAGATTGTCCATATTTCCCACCGTTTTTGTTCTCCAATCCTCAGACAATTTTTTGCTGCTCTTTCTCTCCTCCATGCTCCATGTGGCACACAGAGACACCCAACAGAAAGGTGGAGGCCATTTGTCACCATTGTACCTGGTTGTCGGTGTGATTTCTATATTGTCAGGTCCTGGTCGTGGATACGGGGAGATTAATGACAAATTCCAGGAACGTCACAGACTTGGAATGCAATTAATTTTCACAATTTTGAGAAGGTGCCAATAATTTTGTCCAGTCCTTTTTTGGGGTTTTGGGTGGAATGTGTCAGATTTGGCTTTTTGTTTCTCCACTTTTTCGTGTCGTACTGATACAAACCAAAGAAATAAACACGAGAATGCCGAAACATTTGCCATTGCAACAATTTTCTGGGTGAAGTGGTGCATTATCTGACCGAAATGAGGGGGGGGGGGGACGACAAAATTTTTGGCCATGACTGTAATTTTTAAGGGGTGCTATAAACACAAAAGAATGCCATTACAGTGGCGTAGTGGTTAGCACATTTGCCTTGCAGTACTGGGGTCCTTGGTTTGTATCCCAACCATGATGTTATCTGCATGGAGTTCGCTTGGGTTTCTTCCTACACTACCAAAGACAAGCTGGTAGGTTAATCGGCTCCTGACTAAATTGGCCCCAATATGTGTGTGTATGTGAGATTGTAGGGGGAAGGGACCAATCTGAGTGTACAAGATGTGAAAATTGTCAATGCTTTATAAATACCAGTGATAATAATAATCTGTTGGGGATTCATGAGCACCGTCTTTGGTTAAAAAGGTTTATATTTCAGACCGACAAGATGTACATGTGTGGCGTGCAGACAGATCTGATCATAAATTCTTATTTTCTTGTATTTCAGTTCCGCAGACTGAGCGTTCCTGGGAGATGTTTTGGAGACCAAAGCAAAGGATGATCCAGGATGTGAAACTTTAACCCCTCGCCTACCGGGCTCTTTCACCCCCCTTCCTGCCCAGGCCAATTTTCAGCTTTCAGAGCTGTCGCACTTTGAGTGACAATTGCGCGGTCATGCAACACTGCACACAAACTAAATTTTTGTCATTTTTTTTTTAGACAGAGCTTTCTTTTGGTGGTATTTAATCACCGCTGGGATTTTTATTTTTTGCTAAACATTTAAAAAAATAAAGTTTTTTCTTAGTTTCTGTTAGAAATGTTGTAAATAAGTAATTTTTCTCCTTCACTGATGTGTGCTAATGAGGCTGCAGTGATGAGCACTGATAGGCAGCACTGATGGGAATTAAAAGGCAGCACTCATATATGGCACTGATAGGCGGCACTGAAAGGCAGCACTCATATATTACACTGACTGGAACTGTTAGGCGGCACTGATAGGCAGCACTGACTGGCACTGATAGTTGGCACTGAAAAGCAGCTCTGATGGGCAGTGATATGTGACATTGATGTGCACCGATGGGCACTGGTATGTGGCATTGATGGCCACAGGTATGTGGCATTGATGGGCACTGATAGGCATTAGTATGTGGCATTGATTGGCATTTATGGGCACAGGTATGTGGCATTGATGGGCACTGATGAGCATTGGTATGTGGCATTGATGGGCACTGGTATGTGGTATGTGGCGTTGATGGGCACAGGTATGTGGCATTGATGGGCATAGCTATGTGGCATTTATGGGCACAGGTATGTGGCATTGATGGGCACTGGTATCAGGCATTGATGGGCACCGATGGGCATTGGTATGTGGCATTGATGGGCACTGGTATGTGGTGTTGATGGGCACAGGTATGTGGCCTTGATTGGCACAGGTAGGTAGCATTGATGGGCACTGGTATGTGGTGTTGATGGGCACAGGTATGTAGCATTGATGGGCACTGATGGGCATTGGTATGTGGCATTGATGGGCACTGGCATGTGGCATTGATGGGCACAGGTATGTGGCCTTGATTGGCACAGGTAGGTAGCATTGATGGGCACTGGTATGTGGTGTTGATGGGCACAGGTATGTAGCATTGATGGGCACTGATGGGCATTGGTATGTGGCGTTGATGGGCACTGGCATGTGGCATTGATGGGCACAGGTATGTGGCCTTGATTGGCACAGGTAGGTAGCATTGATGGGCACTGGTATGTGGTGTTGATGGGCACAGGTATGTAGCATTGATGGGCACTGATGGGCATTGGTATGTGGCGTTGATGGGCACTGGCATGTGGCATTGATGGGCACAGGTATGTGGCCTTGATTGGCACAGGTAGGTGGCACTGATGGGCACAGGTATGTAGCATTGATGGGCACTGATGGGCACAGGTATGTAGCATTGATTGGCACAGGTATGTGGCCTTGATGGGCACAGGTATGTAGCATTGATGGGCACAGGTATGTGGCCTTGATGGGCACTGACAGGTGGCACTGGTAGGACTACACTGATCATCAGGGCACTGATGATCAGTGTAGATGTCCCCTGTGAGGAATGCCACTTACCGGCTCTGAGGAATGCCAC